CCTTGCACCTCCTGTTTTCTTTCCATGTTTTCTGGAGTCTCCCATGCTCCTTGCTTCCTCCTCTCTCCAGAAATCCCACCTATACCTCCTGCCTAGCTATTGGCTCTTCAGCTTTTTATTACACAAATACATCTTCTTTGGCTGGAGAGATGGCTCAGTGGTTGAGAGCACTGTCTGCTCTTCCAGAGGTCCTGAGTTCAATTCCCAGCAACCACATGGTGGCTCCAAACCATCTGTAAAGAGATCTGGCGCCCTCCTCTGGTGTGTGGAGGCAGAAAGTTGTATACATAATAAATAAATCTTAAAAAAAAAAAAACAAATACATCTTCACACAGTATACAAATATCCTACAAGTCTCTCTGTGTCGTTCTGGCTGTCCTGGACCTGGCTCTCTAGACCAGGCTGGCTCGAACTCACAGAGATTGATCCACCTGCTTCTGCCTCCCAAGTGCTGGGATTAAAGGTATGTGCTACCAACTGCCTGGAAATTTTTCATTTTTAGAGATTTATTGTTTATTAAATGTATGTGTGGGTGCTCATGGAGGCCATAGGGCATCTTACCCCCTGTACTGGAGTTGCAGATGATTATGAGCTGCTGTGTGGGTGCTGGAAAGCAAACCTGGGTCGTCTGTAAGAGCAGCAAATACTCTTAACTCCCAAACCATCTCCCTTAACCCCTAGTTTGTTTTGGTGTTTTTGAAATGGGGTTTCATTATATAAGATGTAGGCTGGCCTCTGCTGCTGAGTGGTGTGGAGTTTCAGAGTACCTTGTCTCCCATGCCCAGTTTTCTCATTTTGTTTTCTAACCTCTTAAACAGGCAGACTGTGCTGTTAACAATGTATCAGTGAACCAAGTTTCAAAGCCCAGAGTTTACTCTTGGTTGACGTCATGGTTGCCTCTTTCTCTTCTTCATTAGTTTCAGGTGGGGCAGAGGACAGGCCTCAGAACTTGCTGTGCAGGCACAGTTGACCTTGAACTCTGACCCTTTTGCTCTACTTTTCAAATTCTGGGGTTCTAGGTGTATTGGCACACACAGCTTGCCTGGTTCTAGCCAGCACCATGTTCCATCTGTGTAGTCCAATTGGACATGATAGTTGACCCCGCTGTAGCAGTTTTCTGAGTTTTTTTTTAAAGATTTATTTATTAAACATACAGTATTCTGGCATGGAAGGCACCAGATCTCATTACAGATGGTTGTGAGCCACCATGTGGTTGCTGGGAATTGAACTCAGGACCTCTGGAAGAGCAGCCTGTGCTCTTAACCTCTGAGCCATCTCTCCAGCCCTGAGTTGTTTTTTTTTTTTTAATCACCTTTAGAAGTGTTTTGGTTTTGTCTGAGACAGGTCTCCCTTAGTCTATGGTGCTCTTCAACTTTTGATCCTCTTGCCTTCTCCTCCTAAGTGCTGAGATTATGGACTTGGCCACCATGCCCAGTTTATGCAGTACTGAGGTGAGAACCTGAGTCCTTATGCATTCTCCAGACTCTCTCTTACTTTTACTTCTGTGTATGAGTAGTTGGTCTGTGTGTATACCATGTGCATGCCTGGTGCTCACAAAGATCAGGCACGGTACCTACTGAGCTAGACCAGAGGCATGAGACATATACATCAGTTCGATGTTCGATGACATATAAGGCATTCTTTTTCCTTTCTTTTTTTTTTGTTTTGTTTTTGTTTTTTTGAGACAGGGTTTCTCTGCAGGTTTGGAGCCTGTCCTGGAACTAGTTCTTGTAGAGCAGGCTGGCCTTAAACACAGAGATCTGCCTGCCTCTGCCTCCCGAGTGCTGGGATTAAAGGCATGCGCCACCACCACTGGGCTAGGTCTTTCTTTTATACAGCAAGTGTTCAGAATAATAGCACAGATGTTCATCACATTTCCATAGAAAAGGTTCTAAGCCAGCCAGTTGTAGTGATGACAAGTTTATATGGTGCCATCTTGTGGCAAGAGCTTAAATATTACTAATACATCTTCTTATTGGATAAGTAACTCTTTTTAGGGGGAGGGGTGGGGTTTGCAACATGCTCTCAACATGAAAAAAATATATATACTGGGAGAGAGGGTTTCACTATTTAGTGCTGGATTTCCTGGCGCTCTTTATATAGTTTTGGGGTTTTTAAAAAATTTATTTATTTTTTGATTTTTCGAGACAGGGTTTCTCTGTGTAGCTTTGGAGACTGTCTTGGAAGTCACTCTGTAGGCCAGCCTGACTTTGAACTTATAGACATGTGCCTGCCTCTGCGTCAGGAGTGCTGAGAATAAGGTGTGTGCTCCACTGCCCAGCTAGGTTTTTGTTTGTTTGTTTGTTTTTAACTGGGTATAGTGGTACAGAACTTGAGATTTGAGGTAGAACCATCAAAAGTTAGAGGACAGGTGGCACACACCTTTAATCCCAGCACTCAGGAAGCAGAAGCAAGCAGATTTCTGTGAGTTCAAGGCCAACCTGGTCTACAGAGTGAGTTCCAGGACAGCCAGGACCACAGAGAAACTGTCTCAAAAAAAAAAAAAAATCAGCATTATCTGGAGTCTCTTTCTTATTTTTACTTCTGTGTAGTTTGTCTGTGTGGGTAGCACGTGCACTCACAAAGATCTGAAGAGAGTTGTAATTTGATATGTGGGTGCTGGAGACAGAAGCAGAATCCTTTACAAGAACAAGTGCTCTTAATGATGACAGGGTCTTGTTAAACCAGGCTGGTCTTGAACTCACAGATCTGCCTGCCTCTGCCTCCCAAGTACTTTTTTTTTTTTAAAGATTTATTTATTTATTATGTATACAGTATCCTCAGTGCTTTGTCTGCAGGCCAGAAGAGGGCACCAGATCTCATTACAGATGGTTGTGAGCCACCATGTGGTTGCTGGGAATTGAACTCAGGACCTTAGGAAGAGCAGGTGGTGCTCTTAACCACTGAGCCATCTCTCCGGCCCCTCCCAAGTACTTTTTTAGAGTGTGTGGTGTGTGTGGTCAAAGAACAATTTGAGGGAGTCAGTTCCCTTCTCCCACCATACTGGTCCAGGGATGGAACCCAGGTCATCAGGCTTGGCAACAGGTACCTTTCCTTGCTGAGCCCACCATTTGCTTTCTGATAAAAAAAAAAAATGGGTGATGGAAGTGTTGTTCCCCTGGGTATGGTGGCACCTGCCTGGAATCCCAGTGCTTGGAAAAGCTGGAGCAGGAGGATTTCCATGAGCTCGAGGACAGCTTGGGCTACATAGTGAATTCGGGCCTGCCGTGGCTACATGGCTCCCCCCCCCCCAAAAAAAAACTAAAACATTTCCACCCCAGAAAATAATAAACAAAATGGTATATGGGAGCTGGGAACTGAACTTCAGTCCCCTGGAAGAGCAGGGCTCTCTCTCTCTCTCTCTCTCTCTCTCTCTCTCTCTCTCTCTCTCTTTCAATCTCTCTCTCTCTCTCTCTCTCTCTCTGTTTTCTTTATTAATGCTAGGTTAATTAATTTAATTTTTTTTTTTTTTTACAATTCCAAGTTCCCCCCCTCCCTCCCTCCTCTCCTCCCTCTCCTCCTGCCTTCTCCCAGCCTCTTCCCCCATCTGCTTCTCAGGGTAAGGCCTCCCCTGAGAAGTCAACTAAGTCTGTTGCAGGGAGTGCTAAGCCACCTCTGCTGCTGCTGATGTCTAGTGCTCTTGCCAGGACCAGAGTCCAGCTCCCAGCTCTCACATAGGGCTGATTACGACCGCCAGAAACTCTAGCTCCAGGGTAACTGATGCTTTCTCTGGCTTCTTGTAGCGTTTGCCCTCATGTACATCATCAGTCCCACTAATAATGAAACCTTGAAATTCCGAGGTAGGGACTCACTGTGAATCCCAAGCTGGCTTGGAATTCTTGATCCTCCTGCCTCAGCCTTTGCAGAGCTAGCTGCCTTACAAGCTTTCAACCTTTGTCCTTCCATTCTCCTGTGGGTGATTTTTATTACATCCTACCCGGCTCGAGTGATTCCATAGGAGAAGTTATAAATACCACATTTATTTGGATATATATCATGTTTTCCATGAATTCCAAGAATTGTTTTCCACCAGAGTCCAAGATAGTTTGTTTTGTAGATGTGAATATTGACGTGTGGGTGTAGAAGATAGTCTGCTCAGAGGATATTCTAATGTGGGGTCGGCTATGTGATTCAAAGTTTGAGCATATTTTTTTGTTGTTGTTTGAGACAGGGCACTTGCGGCATCCGCATGGATGCAATAAGAGACTTGCTTTGAATTCAACCAACTCCAGTTCTATGCCTCTTTAAGAACGCCTACAAACTAGCGTGGTGTGGTGGCTCAGCACTCAGTGGCAAAGGCAGGTGGATCTCTGAGTTTGAGGCCAGCATGGTCTACAAAGCGACTTCCAGGGTTATTCAGAGAAACTATGTCTCAAAAAAGCCAAAAAAATTAATTAGTTAATTACAATAGTCTAGGACAGTAGTTCTCAGTTTTTCTAATGCTGCTGCCCTTTAACAGTTCCTCATGTTGTGGTGAAAGCCCCCCCACCACCACCACCATAAAACTATTTTCGTTGCTACTTCGTACCTGTAACTTTGCTACTGTTATGAATCGTAGTGTAAACAGATGTGTTTTCGGTGTCTTAGGCAACCCTTGTGACCCACAGGTTGAGAACCGCTCGCTGGTCTAGGACCAAGGAAAGCAAAAAAAGAGTAAAACGAGATCAAAGCGTATGTAAATAAGGCCCTTGGACTGCCGGGAAATAATCACTTTGGGCCTTCGGGGAAAGCCAACGTTGGCAGACTACTGCGCGTGCGTAACCCTCTCCCACCGCCTCCTGAACGAGACTCGAAAAAGAAAACACTAAAACCCCCACGACGGGCGTTGCTTAAGATGTACGCAGGCGCGCTGCTGTGAGCCCGCCTCCTCCTCGTCCCTGCGCTTGCGGTCTGATGTTTTCTGAGGCCAGGCCCTCGGTCTTCTTACGTCAGTTCCTGTTTGTGGCTGGAAAAGGCGGTATTTCCGGCCAGCGGGTGGGAGGGGGCGGTGAGCGGGGGCAGGGGGGAGGGGGCGGGGGGGCCGTGCCGCGCGAGCCGTTGGGCCTGACTCTGAGAAGGCGTCGCCGCCGCCGCTGCCGCCGTTGCTGCCGCCAGCTAATATTAGGAGCGGGAGCGAGCACAGCGTGGCGATGGGCGGGGGTAGAGCCCCGCCGGAGAGGCTGGGCGGCCGCCGGTGACAGGTGAGTGCGCCAGCGCGTGTCCCCAAGTGCCCTCCCCTCCGCGATGGTCGCGTCCTGGCCCCCCGCGGGGCCGCGCTGGGCCGTACCACCGGTGCCCGCCGGGCGGGGACCACGGACCTGGAGGCTCCCCCCCCCTTCCGGAACTGAGTGGGGGCGGCTGCTCCGGGGCTCAGGGATCGGCCCGGAGGGACGGGGGTGTGGGCGGCGGTCTGTACCACTGCGGCGGCGGGGGGAGCTCGCTCAGTGTGCACGGGCCGGGGGCTGTCGGGGAGACAGATCCCGCTGTACCGTGCCGGCCATCCAGCTTTGAGGCGGCACACCATGTCAAGTGTAGAGGGTTGTGCCGCTGGGGTGGTTTGGGAGCCGTTCCTGTAGTGCACTTAGAGGGATGGGAGCTTCTGGAGAGGAGTCTTTACAGGGGTGGCCGCGATGGGGCCGTCAGGGTGGTACCACGTAGGCAGGCGAGAGCCGCCTTTAGTATCAAGAGGAGAGCAGGGTCGGAATGAGTATCATATCACTGGGTGCTGGGAGGCCTGGATGAGTGTTAGGGGGCGTACTTTTGGGGGTGTGATGCCGAGTGGGCGATGAGTGCATTCTGCTTCCTGTAATGTGCAGGGGGTGGGCGTTTACACACAGCTCTGGCTTTATTGGACTTCTTAATGACTTGAGGAGAACGGGATCGTAACTTGGGTGCCCTTTATCACGGGGCTGTCCGCTTTCCACGCCAGAACCCCTCCCAGATTATTTCTCTTTAAGGTGTGTGGGACATCCTTTGGCAAATTCTTTCCTTCCGGGGGTGGAGATGTGTCTTAGAAGTCACTGAAGTTTTCTGATCTGGCTCCCTATTAGGAAAGGGAGGGGCTGTCGGGCTTGGATTTAAGGAGCTGTATCTCTGGACCTGCTTGTCACCTTTTGGGAGGAAGGTGTGTTTTGAGGGACAGCTCTTCTACATAGCAAGGTGACTGGGGGACGACTTGATTCTCAGAATTTGGGAACCCTATTTCTCTCATTTGGAGACCTTTTGGGTTCTGGTGACAGACCTCTGCTGAAAGAATACGGGGTTCAGAGAAGCAGTTTAGAGTTCAGGTACTGCCTGCTGTTGTGGGCATGGATGTTAAGGGGCCTATATCAGCCCAGACCACAAAAGTTTCTCCATCTCTGGCCACGTGGCTGCTTGTGCCTCCCTGTTACCAGCTCAACCTCAGGTCTTGTTTACGCTCCTACTAGTTGAGTGATAACAGTTGGTCTGGTGAGCTTTGTTTTCCCAGCTGTTCCTTTCTGCAGGGGCCCGAGGGGACTTTGAGGGCAGAGCACTTCACCCAGCTTGGTCTCTCCTAGGGAGGAAGGCCACTTTATGTTGCTTGGTGTTGTTAGGTCCACCACAGATCTAGGTTTTCATTGTGTTCCCTATGCAGGGAACCCCAGAAGTGTGTGGTCAGTGTCCCTGTTCCTTAGGTCAGCCTGTGACCTTGGCTTGCCCTGTAACCTTTGCCTTAGGTCTAGATTTCTTGGAGGACTGGCTGCAGTCCCTGATTGACCTAGCTGGCCAGGCTGCTGGTATGATCCAGGGAGCAGACAGAAGCCATTGCTCTCTAGCATCGGTGTCTATGCTGACTGGCTCCCATGTGTCCTGGTTTCCAGAGAGGCAGCGGCTACCCTCTAGGGTTTTTCTCTACTAGGGATGTGCTTATCTGGCCCCTCTCCTGGTAGCATTAGAAGCTTTGCCTAGTAGAGTTAACAGGAGCAGTAAAAGTAATGAGCATGAAATTGATGGCTGACCTTCACTCAGGGCATTCAGCAAGCCACACTGCGGGATGCCTGGTATCCTAGAGTAGCAGACCCTGTTGTCATGCTCTCCTTTTTAACTGAGGAAACTGAGGCACAGGGGCCCACCGTTTCTAGATAGTAAGTAGCATGTGTTCTTGAGTATTCCCATCATGCTAGCTATGTGATAGGCCTTTTGTACACAGCTTCATTAAGTCTCAAAACATAACTACAGTTGTGTCTATAGAGACCTAAGAGTGAGTTAGGAATGTTATATCCTTGTCGCAGGGAAGGCAACTGAGGCACTGAGCTATGGTGGCCTTTGTTTGTGACTACCCACTGTGCCCAGCCTTGGTCTTGAGGTTTTATATAGTGTTTTTTTTTTGTTTTTTGTTTTTTGTTTTTTTTTCCCAGAGTCAGAAATTGAGGCCTGAAGGAAAAGGTGCTTGCTTCCAGGTCTTCTCAGAGCCCTTGGAGGCCAGGCTGGGATTCAGATAGACACAGATTACTTGGGCTCTCGTACTATATCCTATTTGCTCAAGAGGTCCCACGCTGGAGTGGGTCTCTGCCCTCTTGGCTCTTCTCCTGGGAAGCTGCTTTCTCCCCTAGCTGGGGTGCTCTGAATGGTCAGCATTTCTGGACTTGCTGGAGGAACCTGGGGACAGTGCTGAGTTAGGCTTCTTTTAACCCTGGGCACATGTGTGCTGGGACAGTAGGAGCTGGCAGAAGAGCCATGAGGGGAGGTGGTGACAGCTGCTGTGGACCCTCCTGCTACGTTAGACGCAGGAGGAGGATCTCTTCTGGCTGTGTGATGGGGCTACCGTGTTCACCTCATGCAGTGGGCTCCAGAAAGCACCCGCCTCCAGTTCCTGTAAGGAGGCAGGGTTAATTGATAGAAAACTTCTCCCATAGTGCCAACCATGGTAGTCTCTGTGCACACTTAGAACCTGTCAGGGGACTGAGGCTCCTGCCTCATTCATCCCCTACTTCTGATTCCATCAGGTGTCTAGAGATTCAGCTCTGTCCAGTCTCCACCCAGACATTCAGTGTCGTGGTTCTCAACTTCTGTAAAGAATTGTGTGAGGGGCCAGGCAGTCGTGGCGCACACCTTTAATCCCAGCACTCGGGAGGCAGAGACAGGCAGATCTCTGTAAGTTCGAGACCAGCCTGGTCTACAAGAGCTAGTTCCAGGACAGGCTCCAAAGCCACAGAGAAACTCTGTCTCGAAAAACCAAAAAAAAAAAAAAAAAAAAAAAAAGAATTGTATTAGGCTGGCAAGATGGCTCAGTGGGTAAGGGCGCTTTCTGTGCAGGCCTTGCAATCTGAGTTCAATCCTCAGAGCCTGCATAAAGGTACAAGGTGAGAACCAGCTCCACAGAGTTGCTATCTGTCCTTCACAAGCACGTCACAGCATGCCCCCTCCCCCCCAATTGTGCACACATACATACACAGTAATAAATCCAGTTTTCAAAAAGGCTGTGGTGTACTTCTGAGCACAGGTGCTGGTTGTGTGGCTTTGAGTGGGTGCTTCAGCCTTCTCGACGCCCCTCCTTATGTGAGCCAGGGAGGATACTGCTAGCTTTTCTGTGTAGACAGTGATGGCCAGGTGGCCTAACAAATTATACTTGATGTTACTGCTGCTAGGACTCAGGGCCCTAGCCAGTTTGTAGAAGCTTGTCAGAGGGTATCAGGAAGGTAGGGCAGATGCTGAGATGCACTGGCATATAGTCAAGTAAGCCCCTTGCCTCTGCTCATGTAGTTACTGCCTTCCATGGCACAGATTCTGGATCCTTTCCAGAGTTCCAGGTTGGGTGCTTACCTTTGTGTGCTTTTACTTATTCCCTACCACAGCCCTGGTATGGTGGGAAGGGCGGGAGCGGGCAGGGTTTTGCATAGGTACTGCAAAACCTATACTGGGGTACTGGCAGAATCCCTATTCTGTCGGATGTGGTGCTGCACAGGATGCAGAGGTTGATGGGTTTCTAAGTTCTAGGACAGCCTGATCTACATATTAGGTTCCAGGCTAGCCGGGGCTACATTGAAAGTTTCCATCTACAAAACAGAAGACCTTTGTGAAGGAGACTGACAGGGTAAGCGGGAGTGGAGTAGCTGCTAGGTGGTCAATTTGGATGAGGTGGTGGGAGCCATCTGGAACTTCTTTAGATGTAATAGCAGGGATGGGCTCTGATCTAGGTAAGGTGGGACAAGCATGTGGGTGGGAGGCCGACAGTCTGGGAGCAGCAGGGAGACCACGGGGTGGAGGTGTGGTGGGAGGATGAGCTTGGTGAGGTTAGGGACGCACCACAGGGAAAGAGGCCTAGAGGCCTGCATGAGTGGGTGAGCGCTGCTTCCTCAGCCTGGGAAGGAATTTGGAGTCTATGAGGATTTACTTAGTTGGTGGTGACTTTGGCCTTGGAGTTTTTCAAGCTTCTGCCTGGGGCTAGGTACTGTTTCACAGGCCTCCCACTTCCCCCTTGAGAGAATAGCTGCCTCACAACTGCTTCAGTGGACCCGCTGGTTGCCTCCCTTTCCTGTGGTTTCACACGATGTTCCCCAGGGTCATGGCTGTTACATTTAGGGATTGAGGTGGGAACTCAATGGGCTGACTTGTCTAAGCATCTCTAGCCTAGCCAGCTTCTGTTGCTAAGTAACAGTGTGAATGACTGTCACACCAACAGGAAGGGTCCTTGTCATAGTCTGCCCGCTGCTTCTCCACTTGCCCCCAAAGTTGGAAGGAACAGGTCTTGGACCTCACCTTCTATAGTAAACACAGGGACGGCTGACAGTGTCACCGCATAGCAGGTTAGGGTTGGTGTTATGAGCGCAAGATAAATGGAGGCCAGGGAAAGGAGAGTGTGATACTATTTGGTCTAAATTAGGTGGTCAAGGGGGCCTTCCTTAATAAGATTGACTTGTGGCCTCAGCCTAGAGTATCATGATGGAGTCACGACAGGCCCTGGGTGAAAACCTTAAGGATGGAAGGAATTGGCTCTGGCTGTCTCTTAATGGTCCTGAAAGTCCTTGTACCTGTGTTAGGTCCTCAAGTGGAAGAGAATCAGGTGCTGTGTTTGTATGGTTTGGCTCCAGGATTCCCTTAGCATAAAGGTGCTTAGTGGCCCTATGAGGGTGTCTTCTAGTCTAGCTCATGAGCCTCATTCCTAAGGCTTGGTGCGCTTTCCAAGGCTTGATCTGGAGAGAACGGAGTGGAACTCTTGGGGAATCTATGCAGACCCCAG